AGGCCTCACAAAAAATACAGAAGCAAGGACCACCAGTTTTTTTGGACAATTCAAGATTTTTCTCTGACATTATCGGGGAAATAAATATGTTTCAATGTTTGATCGATTTAAAAAAAGCAGAACAAAAAAAAACATAGTTTTATATTAGCTAAAAAACAGTTTTATATGATCTAACTCCAGTGAAGGAGCCTCTCTAAGGCCTCACAAAAAATACAGAAGCAAGGACCACCAGTTTTTTTGGACAATTCAAGATTTTTCTCTGACATTATCGGGGAAATAAATATGTTTCAATGTTTGATCGATTTAAAAAAAGCAGAACAAAAAAAAAACATAGTTTTATATTAGCTAAAAAATGGTTTTATATGATCAAACTCCAGTGAATGAGCCTCATTAAGCCTCTCTAGGGCCTCACAAAGATGGCCGCCAGCAGGCAGAGCCACAGGGGCGGGGCCAGGCTCAGGGCGGGGGGGCCTCCGGACCGGGCTATGGAGTGGAAGCACCTTCCCACGTTCCCCACCGCGTCCACGGCGATGATCTCCACCTCCTGGGAGCAGCAGGACGCGTTGTAGGCGGCCTGGACTAAGGGAGCCGGAACGGGGCTAAGATCCAAAGTCCCGTTTCCACGGTCCAGAGAAACCGATTGGATCTGTGTGCCGTTGCCGTCGGTGATGTTGGTGGACAGACCCCAGCGGTGGGACCCACACCGGGACAGGTCCTCGGGGCAGTCCTCCGCCTGAATGATCAACTCTGAACACGTCGGTGCAGAAAAGTCTGTAATCTGTGCAGAGGAAAAAGGGGGAAATATTCAATTCAATTCAATTTTATTTATATAGCTCCACATCACAACAACAGTTGTCTCACAGCTTTCCAAACAGAGCAGGTCAGACCTACTCTGAAGTTAATTACAGAAACCCAACAATTCCCACCATGAGCAAGCACTAGGCGACACAGGCAAGGAAAAACTTCCTTTAACAGGCAGAAACCTGGAGCAGAACCATGGCTCAGGGTGGGCGGCCAAGACTTCAAACCAAAAATAAAGTCATTTTC